GGCCGTGAGACTTGACCTACGTTTATGGTGTATCGTATTGCATGAAATAGCCACACCTACAAATTATGTGTAGATCTTTGTTACTCTTGTAGGTGCATCTTCGATGAAGTGTTTACACGTAAGATTGACTTAACTGCAACTATACGTTAGTGACTCACAATTATTATAATGAATAAGTAACACAGATACCTGGCTAAATACCAAATGCAACAGCGACTGAGTATTATAGGTTTTGCGCGTTGCAAAAAACAAGTAGTTCGGCTCATTTTTTGTTTCTTTTTCTTTATTGAGGACAAACAAATTTGAGAAATTATTTAATCATCAGTTATTAAAGTTTAACTTCTAGAGGCTGCAAAATGGTACAAATATGTGGAGTCTGATAGGGAGGCCCTTGAATGGCACGAAGGATGATGCGTAGCATTCAAATGCAATACACTCTAAGTGAAAACGTTGTCTTTTATTAGCTAACCCCTTTTTCCGCAAAGATAAACCCCTTTTTCCTTTATAATAAAGAAAATTAACATATTAGTTCCTAAATCTTAGCGAACTAACCTGCATGGTGCAGTGTAATGATAATCAAAAATTCGAAAGGATGCAAAGCTCAGAAATTTTTTTTATGCCATTTGACAACAATGAGAGGAGTCTTTGACGGCTCTTTTTATGGATTTCTCCGGGAGCAAGGCAGCGTCTTCGCGTTATTTATCGCTCATAAAAATGTAAGCGCATCTCGGACGCGACTCTTGGACGACGCGTTATGAAAATGTCACCTTTGGAAGAGCTGACACGTGTCTTATGTTTTTCGTCGGAATGTGGTATTTTTCACTACCAAAAATTAACCTTTTTAAAAGTTTTGGCGAGACGAGTATCCGGGAACTGAGGGTCTTTTCCCAGAAAATCGACTAATTTATTAATCCTCTCTCTATCCTTAAATGATATGCATCTCTCAAAAATTCATCGATCACGATGAAGTAGTCGCGCCTTGGGAGTTTCAGAAATAATACCATTCTGACAACTATATGCTTTTTTCCAAAATTGTTTTCCTTGAAAAATGGCCCCTAAATTTTTTTTCAATTTGTACCATACATTGTCTACGTCGGCGCGAGCAACCTGAAAAAGTATCCAAAATCCAACTCTAAAAAAGGAGAAATTAAATTCAATAATACTTGACTTTACAAGCAATTTTCTGACTTTACAGTATTTTGAGGTGAAAAAAATCTCGTTTAGTTGCAATACAACTATAAAACTAAGTGTATTTTTTCCGATACCTATCTTATTTTTTCAAGGGAATACATTTTGAGACACACTGTCAAATTTTATTTTCTCATTCTTCGTCGATGTAAAAAAGGTTTTATCCCATCAAATGAAAATTTATTCTAAATACACATTAGTTTTTGGTCCAACGACCTGTTTTCCTCTCAGCGTGAAGGTTTCCTCCCAGTAACCGTAACGTAGCTCTTACACAAAAGACTCGTCTACTTATTGTCAGTGGTTCGTCCCTTGATGGGCTAGTCAACTAGATGAAAGGCGGTTGCACGGTTGCCAAACTGACGGTATACGAGCCGAACATTATGGTGAAAGTTATCAATTATGCTATCCATTTTACAACCGCCGATCAATCTGACCCTGTATCATCTTTCATTTGATACTAGCCCATTACGCAACAGAGCGTCTTTATGGCATGTACTGCATTGTTATGTTCGTGTATATTCTTACTCGCGTGTACCTATGTTTTATCCGAGGGATTTGCATTTGTGCTCACAAGTATGTGATGCTCTCTGCGTTGTGAGTGTCTCAGATTTCAGCTCGAGACTTGTGAAGTCCTTGTTTTTTGTAATCTTTGGGATGGCTCATCAGAAAATTGAGCAATACGTAGATTTTAAGGATAAATAAAAAAATTAAAAAAAATGAGGATAAGAATACAAATATGCACGTTTCGAACTGACATATGACCCAACAATATGTTGTTTAGTTGCAAATCAATAGTCAAACTAGAAAAACACTATTCTCTTTCCCCATGTTTCAAAATTTCCTCACACCTTTTTCCTAAGGGGGTGGTGATGACTGTCATTCAAAACAGGAAAATGTGACGGTTAATTTGCAATTACGGGGCATTTATCCGAAGCTTCATCACATCGTGAGGTTACTAATCATAAAATACAGTGTTTGTGGTCTGTGTCAATTATAGTTATAAAAAATTATATTTACTTTGGAATGAAAAAATTGAGCTTGAAATCTATGAAGCGAAACACGATCAATACAGAGGAACGTGCAAAAGAGCGTACATATTTTCAAATATCTTCGACTATATCCACTTTTTATCAGGTAGTTTTCAAGCTTTAAATGTTTTTTTTTTTTTCTCTCTCTCTCTCTCTCTCTCTTTTAGTCCATAGATAGAACCGCATAATTTAATTTACACATTAGTGTTACACATTGTATTTCAAACTAAGCTCTCTTCAGTGTTTTTGGTTAAGGGTGGACATTGAAGCGAATGAGAAACAGGTATTTGAAATATTTATTCAATAATAAAATTTGTTATTATATTTTATTTCATGGTATTTGAGATTAACCACTACACAAGATGCAAAATTAAGGATCAGAATAGGACTACATTTTGCAATTGGAACTGCAATTTCTGGCTCAGTTTAAAAATAAAGTATATACCGTCACTTTCCCTATGCATTTAAGTGTTCTTACAGATGAGCTAGAAATTGTAGCTGCTAATTGCAAAATGCAGTCCAATGTTTCCATGGCAAAACTTTACGTAGAACACGTTGAATGTATTGAACCATTCAAAATCCACCGCCAAAAAGACAGAACGACGTTTTTTGTTCACGTCATCTTACAATAACCACTCTCAAAACACTCAAGTCCACTCAAGTCAAATCTAGCTTACGCTAAACTCATTCTGCCGTGATAAGGAAGAACGCCGTATTAACATTCGGGGGATGCCAAAATTGCATCGACAAAATGTTCATTTTTTAGGCAAGTTATGAACATTTTTCTTAAAATTTTCAGAAACTTTAGGTAAAATTAATGACAAAATGGTCTGAAAAATTGGAACAAAAATATTCATATGTTTACCAGGAAATTCGTGTTTTATCAAAGGTAATTTGGCAACGGCTGAAGGTTCATACAGCGTTTTTCCTAAGCACGGTGTATTTTATGGTGGAAGACTTTTCCCGTGCAGGGGCTCTTCTATTTAACAAAAAATTCGAGGTGCAATTTGGCAGAGGAAAAGGAAAGTGTGTATAAAACTAAACTCCAGGGTTTTTTATGATCTATGGCAGTGACGTGTTTTTGGGAAACGTCCAGGTTTTTTTTTTTTTTTTTTTTTTTTTTTTTTTTTTTTTTTTTTTTTTTTTGGAAACAACTACAAACCTCAATTTCTTACTTTCAAATTAATTTTGGAAGTTTTCAATAAGTTCAAAATGTTCAACGTGAAATTTTGATGAGAAAACAAATATTCTGTGGCTTAATTCTTACCTTGTCTTGTGGTCCATTGAAATGTACACGTTTTTAAACCAAAACCCTCCTCTACTGTTTACGCGAAAAAGGACTGTATAAAATTGGCGATAGTCATTGTGCATGTGCCCCGTGCATGTCTCTGCGCGTCGAGAGACTGACCTACAATTTACAGGGAAGTTCTCGCCGAGGCGCATAGAGGAGAGAGTGATTGGCTGAAAATCATTCGCGGATCAACGAATCGGCAGCTTGAAGTTCAAAAGAACCGCACAGTTTACGGAAGCTTCAATTTACTGGGAACACTTAGCGCTGCTATCAAAACAGGTATTTATCCTGAAGCTATCATTAGGGAGGAATTGAATATCCTATCCTCTTTTCATTCAATCTTGGACATCGTCGAGCACAATTTTTACATGAAAAAAAGACGTGTTGAAAATGAAAAAAAAAAGTTTTGGAAAATCTCCGAGTACGACGAATGTTTATCCATGGTTATTTACAGAGAGAAAAAATGAAACAATTTCCAGGTAATGGGACTATCTGACAAAAATAATTCGAGGCATTTCAGTTTTTTCTAGAGGAAATATTTTACATTTTTCGTTTGGGGGGTTGGAAAAAGCGTTGTATCATATTGAATAGTTTGTATGAAAATATAAGTCGCAAGTAAACACTCAAATTAGCATTTCAAAACGATTACTTAAGAAGTTTCGTACGTTTTTAATAGAGAGAATTCGAGTTTTCAAGGCTTGAAAGTGAGAATTCATCAAGTTCATGAGCTTTCCTTAGATTTTCTGTCCAAACGTTCCTCACATATTTTACGGTCAACATTTTAGGAATTCTGTTTTAAGACACATCGAATTTCGTCATAAATACTCGTTTAAGGAATAGAAATAATGTAAAGGAATAGAAATCATGTATTTACAATTGCATAATATCAGTATTTATGGAGTATTATTTTCTCCATACGCAAAGAATCAATTCATCTAAAATGGCAAAATAATCAGGAATTAAATCTGAGTAAGACTCTTTGCCTACTTGCCAAGTCGTTTGACTTCTGCTTCACTTATAATGTGCTTGCTACATATAGATATATTTGAGCTGAAGAGCTAAATTGAAAGTCTTGTAAGGCAAGTGGAATAAGTGCGGTTTCTAAAAAAAATTGCGACATTAACGATTTAATATACTTTGAAAAGTTGTCTTGAAATATATTGCGTAAAAAATTCACCACTAGGATTCACTTTTTAAGCATCAAAAAGTAATTTAGAACTTTTTTTTAACCATAAGGTAGCCTTCTTAAGCCACAAGGTTACATGTAATTCAGACACTTGCAACACGTACTTAAAAAATACCAAAAACTGCACTCATTCAACTTGTACTTCGAGCCCCTCGATTCTATGCCACTACAACACAATGAAAAGGCATCGGATCCACTGTGCGAGGCTCCACCACCATCTCGCTTTACCGGGCGGCGCGGCGCGGTGTAGCACGTAAGGGAACAGGGTAAGGTTGCACCACAAAACTAGCATCTTCAACAGGTTCACTATAAATACCGCGCATCCACCGGTATCGTTACCATTCCGTTTTTTACTTCGACAACTCCACCGGACACCACCATGGCTTTTAAGGTACGTACGTGTCAGTGTTTGTGAATGTGAAGTGCTCGCAAATTGGATTTCAGTGACGACCACCGGACGATTCAGGACTTTATTGGAAATTCAGTGCAGTGAAATTTTGGCGCGATTTGGGACTTCCCTTACTGACTGTTTACTTACCGGTACAACATGCAAAGCGTTTTCGAGTTTGAGCTTTTTGAAAGCTCGAAGTTCTCCTTTCTATGCCTCTTTCAGAAAATTGAAAGGATCGGTTATTGATAATTTGGTTGGTGTGTAGTGATGTTCTTCTATGGCACCAGTGTTCCGTTTAGATATAGTTAACATATTAGGCTAAAAATCGCAAATACGTGCGTCGAAATGGACGAGTTGTAGGACTGACTTTAATTATGACTTTCTCGAGTTGTATACATTCGCGCAACTACACTTTTAGAGAAAAACCAGAGCTTTTTTTCTGACAGTAGGGAGTATTACTCGTGAGTTGGTGCTGGACGAAAGTAGTGGTAATTTGTGTGGAATTTTTGCCAATTACTCACTAACATTTAGATCCCACTTTCAAAAATAAAAAGGTACCGCGCAGTTACTTTCCAATGCAAAAACGTTTTTTTTTTTTTTTTTTTTTTTTTTTTTTTTTTTACGAAATTCTAATTTTCTTTTTGGTGGGAAAGTTAAGGGGGAGTTAAGGAGGAATGAATGAAGTTGGGCAGGGAACTCTGAAAGTTCAATCATAGGAATGGAAAAGAGCATTTGCGTTTTACTTACACCTTTTGATTGAAGTACGCAGTCTGACTGTAACTTACCTGAAACAAAAGAAAAGCACGACAAAGTTAGTCTTGATTGGATGTAATTACATGGGTACAAAAGAGCAAAAACAGTTTAAAATAATGAGTTAGAGGTTGTTTCATACTTAAAAGTGAACGAAACTAATGTATGGACTACATTTTGCAAATCCGGAACTATAATTTCCGGCTCATCTGTAAAAACACTTGTGTGCTTCGGGAAACTAATGGTACATACGTTGTTTCTCAACTGAGCCAGAAATTATAGTTCCGAATTGCAAAATGTAGTACATATGTATCTACTTCGGCTTCTTCCCGTGTTTCATATCACAGTCGAAAAAAGCCCATTAATGATTTCAACTTAAAAAGACTTCAACGCCGAGTAGAGAAATTTGGAAAAACAGATGAAGATCATACTGAGCTGCAAAATATAAAACTGGACTAAACATGTATGCTCATTATTTGTTATTAATCGCAAGATTAAAATATTCGAATATTTTTTTTTTTAAAAAAAAAGGAAAAAAATATTTACAAAATTAAACAATAAATTGTAGCACCAGATTTTACCTACAAAATTGAAAAATTCACCGATTCGCGTACAAGAGTGACATTTATTTTATTTTTTTTTTTTTTTTTTTTTTTTTTTTTTTTTTTTTTTTTTTTTACAAAGAAATAACTTTCCAAGAATGGTAATCGGTATTGGCAAAATTCATTTAACAAACTGTAAACAAAATGCAATCTACACTCCCACATCCGCATACATCATTCGAAAATGTGAAAAATTTTAAATTTTCCATCCATCCTCGCAACGCAGTGACAAAATTTACTTTCAGACGGACATATCTAATCTATGTTTTATTGATCTAATCGAATCCAAATTACCCGTTACTAAAGCTGCGTACTACGCTCCTGAAAACGTTGATGTTTGCTCATTTAATTTAAGGAAAGATAGGGACTCCAAATATGGTGCAGAACTTCTTTACTCCTTTTCTTGAGACTATGATACTTCCCTACTTCTATGAAAACCCGAAGTTAGTTGGAACTTTTTGGGGGCTCTTCAAAATTCAAATGCTTTTAAAAGATATTTGCTTATTAAATTGATACTATAAATTGATTTTAAATATTTAGCGTGAACCGTTGGAGCTTAACAGTAAAAATATCTTCCACCCAACCATTCAGATAAAGGAAATATCACAAATTATAGATTTTGGTATGCAATTTCAAAAAAAGCGGGGAAAATTGAATTTTTCAGCATTTGCACACACGTTTTCTTGTGGAGATATGCGTTGATGCGAGAACGCGATGCATGTTGTTGTAACTGAGGAGAATATTTGTTAAACGGAGGAATAAGCGGGCGCTTCTCTGTCTCACCATCCCGGCCAAAGTTAAGGACCGAAAATCTCTCCCCAACTGCTGGTCTGAAGTTATAGAATTTCAGATACATAATGCGTGTAAAAATGTTGCAAAATTCACATTACAGCCCCTTCTTTTTGAGAGCTGGCTAACAGAAAATACAATTTTTGTGTAATTTGTGGTGCTCAGGAAGAAGTAAAGAAAATTGGAGCCCAGAATAACGAAAAACCAGTACGGCGCTGTACTGTACATTCCTTCGTATCTGTGCAATTCCCTTTCGCCAGCAAAACCCTTAACCCTATCGTTTCCTCAAAACCGAGCAAAGATCAAGCTGAGTCATTTTACATCACGAATCTTTTTCGTGATAGTCTTTTGGGATTAGCTCTTGCAACAGCTTGCGTCAAATTTCCGAAGCTCCATCTTTGGTTGTTACCTGTGCTTCTGCTAGATTAACACATGGACCAAGTTTAACAAAAACTCACTGAGTTGCATCAAATTTTATCCGGGGAGAGGAGGTCTAAAGTTTTACTCCTCCATTAGCCTCAATTTTAGGGACAAACTTCAAAGACTGACTATTTTCATGCTCATAACATTCTTTCTCTACTCTAAATTTTTGACAGAAAGTTTACGATCATGTAAATCTGCACTACAATACTGAGTTCTAACCCATTTCTGCGAACCCATATTCGACTTACGCGTTTTTGCGATAGACTTAACCCACACAATATTGTGCTTCCAGATAAGTAATTCAAGTAATTATGCCTTTTAATGACGTCATTTCTCATCTGATTTCAGATTGCTCTTTTCGCTGCCGTTTTGGCGATAGCTTCTGCTAAGCCTGCCCCGCAGGTCTACCAGACAGTAGCCCACGCTCCGGTCGCCTACCACGCCCCAGTCGCCACCTCCTATGTCTCACCCTCCGTTGCCACCTACCACGCACCCGCAGTCGCCACCGCCTACCACGCTCCTGCAGTAGCCGCCTACCATGCACCTGCAGTCGCCACCGCCTACCACGCTCCTGCAGTGACCGCCTACCACGCTCCCGCCGCCGTAGCGACCTCCTACCACGCCCCCGCTGCCGTGGCCACCTACCACGCACCAGCCGTCGCTACCGCCTACCACGCACCCGCCGCCGTCGCCACCTACCACGCTCCCAGCGTGTCCGTTGCCACTCACGCCGTAGCCGCCCCCGTCGCCAAGGTGGCCGCCGTTGACACTGACTACGACCCCAACCCTCACTACAGCTTCTCCTACGACGTCAAGGACACCATCACCGGTGACGACAAGAGCCAAACGGAAACCAGACAAGGAGACACCGTCCAGGGTAGCTACAGTCTCACTGAACCCGATGGCAGCAGGAGGACCGTTGAGTACACCGCTGACCCAGTCAACGGTTTCAACGCTGTAGTCCACAAGGATGCCGCTGTCGCTTCAGTCGGTACCGCCTCAGTTCTTTCACATGCCCCTGCCACTGTTGTCCATCATTAAAAATTGGTCTCCTTTAAATCTAAGTCATTTTCCTACCTGTAAAATAGTTACTAAATAAATTTAATGTTACCAGTATTTGAATTCTAATTCATTGAACCTTTTAGTATATGTTGAGTTGCGCCACGGTGCTTCCAAAGAAGATTTTATAAATTCAATTCATACTAGCTAAAATTGTAGAAAATAAGAGCGCAAAAATAGACGTATAAGTGCCATAAGGAACTGTCCGCCAATGCATTAAATCAAAGAAACTACGCACATGGGTTTTACGTGCTACATTGTTCCTTTTAATTATATTTATTCGTGATTTTTTCTGGCACAAATACATCAAAACGTCAAACAGCTGAACATAGCTGTTACAACAACAGTATTGAACTAATATTGTAAGTATATATTCGAACTGGGTCAAATATCTTCTTAATCTTTGAATTTGGGTAAAATTGCAGGCTGATAGTTGAGTAAACACACGTACAAATAGGTTAAATCACTCGAATATAATTGCACAAAACACAGATAGCTGTTTTTTTTAACATATTTCTGATAAGGAGGATGATGATTCGATTTCTTCAAAGAAGAAGTGTTGCTCATGATTATATGAATGACGATGAATGCATGGTATCCGTAATGTAAAGGAAGTTCTAGGGGCCCTGGACTGTCGAAGATGTTGGGGTTTTCTGCGGTGACTAATTGGGGCAAAACATGATGAATAATAATAAAACTTGGAAAGTTCCTTAGAAATGTGCTAAGAGGCCTAGGAAGGAAGTAGATTGGTTGGTTAAGCCATGGTCAGTTCTAACCCTTCGACACTCCGATGATTTGTGAGTATCCACCAAATAAAAAGTAACTGATTCCCAGGCTTTGGCAAAATAAAGGCTAAAGAGATAAAGCTCAGTGACATTAAAATTAATTCGACTTCTTCATGTACGACAAATTTTGACTATTCGAAATAAATCAATGCTGGAGCTACAGAGGTTCGTGTAGCAAAAGAGACTTGTCAGCAATGTTTTAAAAAAACGCGTATTCACAAGATAATTACACTTGACATTATGATGTATTTTAGAACTCACTTTGAAATTAAATCCCATTTAGTTACTAATATTCAATTATCGGTCTAAATTGTTTAAACCAGCGCCAGAAGAATATATCTATTTCATCATCCTTCGGAAAAAATTAAAAGACCAATTAACGCAACCTTAATGTAATTATACTTTATGAATTTGGGACTTTCGGTGAAATGGACGTGCGCTAACGCTACGGGTGTTGCGCAGAAAATTTTAGCCATTACGGGAGGAGGAGGAGGAGCGTATTAAATATAATGGGCGGGCTATCTAAGTAATTTAGTGAGATCGTTAGCGAAGAGTCCCATTAAGCAAACGATCACGAATGAACCATGCGAATATTCACTGATATTAATTTGCGACCAGTTAAAAATCTTCAATTCTTATTCGATTCACGAAGATATGAGATCGTTCCACCCAGAAGAATCTATGTCGATTCGTTACTCTGTGAAGGGATGGGGTAAATGCTCTAAAAAAACAAAAATCCTTCGTTTTCTACGCAAAAGAGCGCAACTCCGTTCCGAAATTGCGAAATTAGATCAAATATTTCAATCCTTGAGAGGAATATGACCAGAAAATTTCTGCGCAAGCTTTTGCTGGTTTTTGTGCGAAATTAGGATGGAATCGGTGAAAATATTAGGTAGAAACGCCTACCAGTTTTCTGGTATAAAAATATGATTCCCTGGTGAAAATTTTGGAATGTTGAAATTAAGCTAAATTCTTTTGTCTGAAACGAAAAATTAGATGAAAATCTAATATACACGCGTCTTGATGAGTTTGTTTTCGAAATTCCCTTTCTTACATCTGTTCGAAGAAGGATGCGCAAATTAATTTTAAAACAATTGCACCGATTTTTTTGCACATAGAATCAAGTTTCATCTAGTTGCGGTCACTTGCAAAATAGTGAACTTCCTCCAAATTTTGTAATTACATCAAAATATTTTTCTAGATTATTTTAAATCATTTATTACGAACTTTTAAAATTAAATATAATTTAAATTATTTCTCTAAAGATGATCAATTTCTCTTGCCTTCGACATTAAGTCACTTTAACCCCTTTATTTGATTATTCATTTCATCATCTTTCAACTTTCATGGACTTTTTATCCGGACTCCGAATCTGAGCAGGCCTGCTTTCGTCCCGACTGTTAAGTTTTAAACCGAAACCATACTTCGAGAACCAAACGAAACAAATAAAATAAAAATATGAAATAAATCTAACTTATTCAACCGGAGCCGATTCTTTTCTTTCAAGTCACATCATCCTGATAAATTTGTTCGGATCTCTCCACTTGGAAGTTACGAGCGCAGAATTTATTCTTGACATGAACATCAGGGTCCCGAGTTCCTTATTATTTATTGCGTCGCACAGTGGAACGACCTTTTGGCAGGGTCAATTCATGAATTCTTCCCGTAAAGTTTACACAATTTTGATGATTATTCAGTTACATTTGAGATTTCAGACGATGATCCTAGAAGGAAATTGTACAAGAAAACTGAGTAAACCACCTGTACACCTCTAAGTTTCACGTTACCGAAGTTAAAGGCTTTTGAAGTTTCTAAATCGTGACCGACCTCTCACATTGACCACAATAGACCAAATAAATTGCAAATTTCGGACATGAATTTTTTCACTATAAATACAAATTGAGCTGTTTATTTCGTCAAATTTTAGAGATGAGGAGTGATTCTTGAGGAAAATTTTACGAGGAAACCAATGGAGCCATTTTTCGGACCTCAGAATTTTGTAAAAACGGAGGTATGAGGTTTTAAAGTTTTCAAATTATGTCCAAACTCTCACACTGACTAGCTCCACTGTGATCCGGTGTAAAGATAGTTTCGGATTTCAAATAATTCACCTGCTCGAATAAACTAATTACTGCTCTCCGGGCAGAATGGGCTAACCTTATTCGGGCACATCAGCCCAAATGTCACCAATTCTGATTCATCGGATTTGAATAGGCGGATAAAAGGGTAAACCGATAATGGCTTTTGATTCGCCGTGAAGGATCTTCGCGCTTCTCCAGTCTCATCTCCGCTCTCTTCTCTCTCTTATTTTCTCCATCGAAAATTCAACTAATTTAATTCATTCCGACCTTGACACGTAACCGAGACACGGCGGAGTGATCGGGCGCAGAAATGTAAACCGATGAACTTCGAGAAATTTGATATGATGAAGCACGAAGAAGAATAAAAAAAATAAAAATTGCTTATTCAAAAAGTCCGGGAAAAAGAATTCTGTATGGGTCCGTTTGGTTGCTACACAGCCAAAACCAAAAAACCACTCTACATATCACGATTAGAAACCTCATTTTTGGCGATTTCGAGGGGCGGCTACATTGCAATACATTAGAGTAACGAATTTCTCCGGAAAATTGACAATGTCACGATAAAAATCAGAAGTGATTTACTTCATTAGCTCAAAAGGCAAGTCTGGAATTAAGTTAGGGTTTAAGATAAACAATCAAAACCTCACTATGACGCCTGGATGCAACTATTCGGGCTCTACGGACGTCCGTGTTGCATACGCACGAGAGTGAAGGCGTTTTGACTTCAGACACTAATCGTCTCACCAGCGGCGAGGCGTGGCGCTTTGTAAAGCGAAAGAATTATAGTTATGGTTAAGCGTAGTATAAATTAAGGATACTATAATTTGATCACTATTAATATGGTATTGATAATCACGGATTTTTCGCAGCGCTCTGCAAAAGTGAATCCGTTTTTTTCTTGGGAAAATCGTCTGGTGATCCTAGATTCTCGTGATTAACAAGTTCTAATATTTTCCATCGGGAATTAGTCGAACACGAACTAAAATTACTTGATCTGCCACAGTTTTTTCGAAACAAGATTATTATTTGAAAATTTGCCTGTTTACAGTTTTGAATAAAATCCTGGAAACAAATTAAATGACTACCGTGCCATTTTTGGCAATGCTAGGATATACTTTTAAGGAAACGATAAAGCACAAAAACATAGCCCGAATATACGAATAAAGAAGGAGAGAATTAAAACATGGGTAAACAAGGCTAAAACATTAAAAACACCAAGAGGCAGGACGTTCCGAGCTGTTAGTCAGCCCATGTTTTAATTTTCTCCTTCTTTTAAGGAAATATGCTTTGACACATGAGAAGATGAATCTCTCAAAATACTGATTCCTGCAATTCTAAATGCAGTATCGGATGATCCGGAGAGGTTTTAAACCAAATTTCAGGACTTATCAGTCATAGAGAAACCAAGGAGGTGGTCACATTTCAGGAATTTTGGATTCTGTCGATGACGTAGGTCAATTCAAATGATTTTTATAATCGATTTTCTTGGCAATAGTGTCGTTTATGGAAGAAAGTCATTCTACGTAAAGTATTTGAAACTATATTATGAGTTGATCAAAACAAAAAAAAAGAGAGAAAAAGCAGACGTTTTAGTCCGTTTCACGTTGGACGTTTTGGTCCGTTGGTTCATTACTTTGAATTTCGGATTTTGCTGGAATATCGACGTCTCATCATACCGACCTACGTCACGCGTCACGGGGTAAACAACCCTTAAGACGCGACCACCTCTTTTCCTGCCGTGATAGCGAAGAGAGCAGTAAGTCCACGCTGGGATGAACCTCGAGACACATAATTAAAAGCATGTGCTAATCATGACTCATAGAGAAATGCACTTACTGCTCTCTTTGCTATCACGGCAGTTTATTTCTCTATGCTCATCAGTGCGGCTTTCAATCCGAAGATCATAAAACAAAGTACGATGATAGAAATGTAAGTTAGTTCCGTTCAGGGATACTTGATCCAGTTCACACCTTGACTCCGTTAGAATAAACCAGGGTGGGTAGAATAAACAGAGTGGGTGCCGATCTCATTGAGGACTGTGTACCACTAGCCCGGTGACCGGTGAAAAATTTCGGGTATGCCTCCCTCGCCGAGCGAGAAATTAAATAGAGAGAGAGAGGCGCGGCGAGGCACGTGGGCGAGCGAGAGAGATGATCCGCGAGTGCATTTGCGATAAAATATAAGCCATAACAACCTTGACAATATTTGTGGATAATGAACTTAAACATTTGCGAATTCTGGCTCGCCATGAGGAACAATTGCGCCACGCGTTGATTATAAAAGAGTCGTCTCATCTTCGAAATTATCACTCCCACTCCGGTTAGCAGTCCACTTACACCTCAGCATCATGGCAATTAAGGTAAGAAGAGTGGTCAAGTGTTGTGCCTGTGTGTCCATTGTGTCTCCGACTTGTGCCCCATCATCGTCGATAAAATGACCCGGGTCAGTACCATTTCCCCCGAATTTCGGAACGACTCCTCAGCTCTCGGCAAATGTGTGTTCTTGTGCGCTCGGTGGTGATGCGGTCCATTAGCGTGGGGCTGCGGATATTTTACGTAAGAAAATCCCAAGTTCAGTTTACACAGGGTGTCCAAGGACTCAGTACGAATATTGAAGGAGTCGATTCTTTGAGTCAAAAAAAGACGTTTTCGTGGTATAACTTTTTTTCCAAAGACGCTTTCCCTAAGGGTCACCCCCCACCCACATCGCGCCCACCCGCGCTCCATTTAGTCCCTAATATCTCGAAAACGATGAGTCGTTGCGAATAACACAAGACACGTTTTCACAATATTTTTCAACGCTAAATCTAATGGTGCCGTCAAAAATAAATTTTTGTCACTAGAAACATTAATTTTGGTCTTTCTTAGGTTAGATACTCCCCTAAACCCCCTTAAAATGAATTTTCCCTTTTTTGGAGTTCAAAAATGAAAAGAACGCTAAAAATTACTTCCAGTTACCAAAATCCATTAATATTGGTTGATAATCATTGTCACTGTGTTTAAAAGACGATTTTTTCCCCCTCCAACTTCGTGGCCGCCAAGGACAGCGTTTTTGGAAAAAAATTTATCCCACAAAATCGTCTTTTTTTTTTGACCCAAAGAATCGACTCCTTCAATATTCGTACTTGATCCTGGGACACCCTGTATAGGCCCGACGGTTAACGCGTTGAGGGAACCGATCGAGTAGATCTTTTCAGCAGCCAGTAACACGACAGACTTCAGGTATTGCGATAGTGTAGCAAAGTTTTCGGCATTGGTGATAGTTGTGTTCGAAGTCGAGTGTTCGTTTTGAGATAATTAGAATCCAAGAGCTACCTTAAGGCAGTTTTTTTTTATATATATTTACGTGTTATTGAGGAGTAAGATAGGACCAGGACGAAAGTAAGGGGCCTACTTTCCTGTATAATGGGTCTGTTGCACACAATAGATGCAGCCAAGCGAATAGACTTTTGACGGGTAAAATCACGATTGGCACATGAAGAAAGTCGCAATTCAACTCCTTAGCGCGGACTAGAAACCTCGTAAGCTTAATTTTGTGTCAAATGCATTAAAAATACCAGGTGTAAAGTTCAATTATGCACTTGAGTGCAATTTTAAGTTTTGCAACACTTCCTCTGAGTGAATGAGCTTGTTTTCCAGTTTTCAACTCCTGCATTTTTAAAAATTAGCTCAAAGGGGTTTTTCAAACATTTTATAGAAGTATTTTAAAGCGCAAAGGATAAGTTCAAAATTACGTATTCCGAGTTCCTCTTTAAAAGCACATTGTCAAGAGAGCCAAGGTGGCTTCAGAGAATAGTACTACAAATTGCGACCTTTCTTTCGACCAAGTGAACACTCTGTCACAATTTATGGTCAATCTTCATCATTGCACGGTTGCAAGGAGTCTAGATTGCGACGGAAGTATCACCCGGTCAGGGGAGGATCGCGGTGGCGGGGATATTTTTGGCGGACATCGTAGCTTTCTCGGAAATGCACGTGTAGACGAGAGCTCAAAATACGCGACTTTCAACTTGTTTATGTGTTTCAAGGAAATTTTTGTGATCTGAGCATCCTTTTTACCGACGTACAAAACGCTGTATAGAACTCCCTCGCGCTCTACGTCATCCAACCGCAACTCGTCACCTTCCAGCCGAAGTATCGAAAGCGCCATGCGATGTTAGAAATTTCCGCCGCCGCCTTTCCTTTTTTTCACAGAGAAATTATTCAACGAAGCTGTTCGAAAATTTCACTGAATTTTCTTTAAGGTGCCGTTAAAATTCAAAATTTTCAAAAAGACTCAACCAATAACTTCTCTGTAAAAAAATAAAATGGCGGCAGCAATTTCGAAACGTCACATGGCGCTTGTGATACTTTGGCCAGAAATTGACGAACTGCCCTTTATCGAAATACAAACTGCCGAGAATCCCCAGCACATCCCCATTACTGATTCAAAAATGTATCCTCTCATTAGGCGCCCTCTGCCCTTTCTCCTAGAAGGAGCTTTTATAGAACCTTCTTCGGCGACCTGCCCTATGCGATCCTCTACGTATGACCATACTATATAAGTTGTTCCGTCATACGTCATGCACAGCACCCTGCATTCTCTACTCGCTCAACTTCTCAAAAATGCAAGATTAAAAATTACCGAGCAAGCTTTTTACAAAATTATCGATGTCAAATTAAATTCCTCTTCTTCTGATTGCAGGCTTTATTCTTCGCTGCCGCTTTGGCTCTCGCCTCAGCCAAGCCAGCACCAGTCACCTACACGACCGTTTCCCACGGACCGGTCGCTTACAGTGCCCCAGTTGCCACCGTCGCCCACGCACCCGTTGCCACCTCCTACGTCTCACCCTCCGTTGCCACCTACCACGCCCCAGCCGTCGCCTCCTACGTCTCACCCTCCGTAGCCACGTACCACGCTCCAGCCGTCGCCACCGCGTACCACGCACCGGCTGCCGTCGCCACGTACCACGCACCCGCTGCCGTTGCCACCTACCGCGCCCCCAGCGTGGCCGTCGCCACCCACGCCGTTGCCGCCCCCGCTCAAGCCGTCGACACCGACTACGACCCCAACCCCCACTACAGCTTCTCCTACGACGTCAAGGACGCCATCTCCGGCGACGACAAGAGCCAAACCGAGACCAGGGACGGCGACAACGTTCAGGGTAGCTACAGTCTCACCGAGCCCGACGGCAGCAGGAGGACCGTTGAGTACACCGCTGACCCGGTCAACGGTTTCAACGCTGTAGTCCACAAGGATGCCGCTGTCGCCTCAGTCGGTGCCGCTTCCGTCTACTCTCAAGCCCCCGCAATCGTTCATCATTAAAAATCCGTCTCCGCCTAATCTAAGTCATTTTCCTACTGTGTTATAGTCTTAATAAATTATTAAGTTTATTACAAAAATTCTCGTTGAGAAATTATTTAATCATTCCGATTGATAAATACATAAAAATATGATTCTTCGGTTTTTGGGTTTTCAGCCAACGAGAACACGGCAATATTGCTAAGTACCTCAAAGAACTATTATAAGGACGGGTGTGGATAAGTGCCGTTTTTGGGCCCACCTCAGCTGTAATTCCTCTCTCTAAGATTTTTTGCTCATTGAAGGTCTATATTCTACGGTTACATATAATTTTGTCATTTTTGTCTCTTTTTAGGTCTAATACTAGCTTGAGCATGGGCCTGACGGCCGATTTTGGTGTAAATGCATATTTTTCGGTATTCCACCATGAATCCGCAAATCTGCCAGATTCGACCTTCAGACGCATGTTTAGATCAGTATATTAGACCCAAAAAGAACCAAAAAATGACCAAATCATGACCTCAAAATTAAGTATTCTCAGCAATGGTGGATTTGGCAAATTGGCAACATTGCTTTTTCTCCATTAAAACCTATGAGAATGTATCGACTCTTAAAGAGGCCGGGTGCTTCGAAAAGTCGATTATTTAACATAGGCTCAAATGGAGGAAATCCTGTGCTGTCAAATTGCTGGATCCGCCCCTGATTCTCAGATAAATTTTAAGATTTTTAATAACGATCTATGTTACAGCAAGAACACAAAGTGACTTGCTTTGTCTAAAATTAAATTTGAATTTGTGGAACGCAATGCATCAGTACCATGCATGACACAGTTTCTAAGTTGGAGGTATACTGATAAAAAATTAAACAAGACAAGCAATCGATGAAGTATGTACTGAGGAGAGAAGATTAGGCTCAAGTTCAAACTGATTATATTCATAAGCGGCAATGCACCTTGGTCCGATGGTGTAATCCCAAATCAGGTTTCAAGACGCACCGAAAATAAAACTCACTGACAACATTCGGGACCGTCCCTTAGAATCGCAAATGCCACGGACAATCTTCCATCCTTCTGAAATATTGATACATTCACTTAAGCTGATTTGATTAGAAAAGGAATAAATTATGAGCCCACTGACATTAAATACTGTGGCTTCAAAGACTACTTACATCAACAATAATAAACCGACAAGAGGTGTTGCTCTTTGATGTCTTCATGTTAAGAGCTGAAACCTGCTTACCTCGAAGTAATTAATGTGAATGTAAAGAATACTGTACAATTTATCGATGATAATCCTAAAACAATCACCGTACAACTTTGCAGAGTTCATTTTCTCAAAATTTGTTCAGTGACCATGGTTTTAATTTTTTTTTTCTTATAAGAAAGCCCCCCTTCAGAAGATAAACATAAATAATTTATTAAAAAAGTTCCATTAATTATTTGGGTCTTGGAGTTATTGGACTATGTTGGTAGTTCCTTGTTTATGAGATTCAAACAGATGACATATTGAGGGAACCTCTTCAGTTGGCGTCAACACCATTATCACCGTCATCAAACGGTGTCTAATTGTCTCCGATATTTTATTTTTAAAAAAGCAACCCAAGCAATAGTAAAACTTGAACATTTGTGAGTATTTTTTTTTTTATAGTTTGGGATAAATTTACAGGAAGTCTGGAGATATTAAATAGTGGAGTTCTCTGTTTAAAAAAATGAAGCTTTAGAGAAAATTCAGTAACATGACATACAGTCAGGTTGAGTCCGAGTTTTTACCCGAGTTGAAAAAGAACAAAAAAAAAAAAAAAAAAATGAAGTTGACGGATAAAATAAAAGGTACATACTTCAACATAGCATTGCTAGTGACAAATATTTCACTGTATGGATCAAAGCCGCAAAGATGGCTTTATAGACTCCTCTACTTCTGTGGGGATGAGACTCAGAGGCCAATATATATACCATCCATAAAGTTCGGATAGGCAATTGAATAAAGGACCGGTTTGAATTCCTTAATATCGGTATCACACTTCGGTTAATGTTTCGCAATGACCGAAAACAGAAGATAGGATCAGAGATGACCGACTTTGGGTTTTGATGAAAGCAGACGCAGCGCCCATCAAATCGATGCGCTAGGATCGTCAATGCGTTTGACATTAACGCAGTGATTCTCTGCCGCCCGGTTGCATCTCTTTGGGTCCACAATCTGACCAGAGCAATGACCTACTGCCTGCGGTGCCAAATAGTGCCATTAATTAATAAAAATTATTTAAACCTCCTTTAAAAAGAATCGGGAAAGGGACAAAGGTGGTAAAAACTCTTAGGAGGGGAGAAAATGATAATCTTCTTTCTTTTTTTACCGCTAATAACAATTTTTTTGAAAATGCAAAAATGTATTGAATGATACCACTATTGAAGCGACGGGTATAGTCAAAAATGCATTTTATAGATTTTTAGATTACTATTTCAAAACAGGTGAAAAGTTCATGCAATTCAGCGCGCTTGCAAGTATTTCAAAATTTAAAATTGTGTATGTGTTGGATAGTGATGTGTCATCAGCACTGAGGAACGTTCTTACCTATGAGGATCATTCCTTGCGATGAAAGAGTAATTGGACTACATTTTGAAATTCGGAACTACAATTTCTGGCTCAGTTTAGAAACAACGTATCGTCATCTTCCGGTCAAAGTATCAAAAACGCCATGCGACGAATCAAAATTTTCGCCGTCATTTTATTTTTTTACAGAGAAATGTCTGGTTGAATATGTTTGAAAGTTTCACTAAATTTTATCGATAGCACAAAGAAAATTCAGTGAAATTTTCAGACAGCTTACTTTGAACAATTTCATAGTAAAAAAATGAAATTTTGAAACGTCGCATGGCGCTTGCGATACTTTGGCCGAAAGGTGACTGTATATGCCATTATTTTCCTTATGCACGTAAGTGTCCTCACAGATGAGCCAGAAATTGTAGTTCCTAATTCCAAAATGTTGTCCAATTAAGGATTTTTAATTCAAGTCCGAACAGAGGAGTAGATGTTGCCTCTGGTTGATCACTAACCTCCAATAATTGCAGGTTACATCACGAGGGACCACACAGCTGAGGAGAGGACGCATTTGAAAAGCCGCTCCTAAAACGGCGTAAGGAGATTCTTCCAAGGCCACTGGTCCACCAGGGCTACCGCTCTTCAAAGTCGTTAAAATACTCATTTCAGAGAGTATCTTCGAAGAGAAGGTCGATTACCCATGACAGACTAAGCCCAAATGCATCTGGTTATACAGGGTGTCCAGAAAGTTCTTGACCCCAGGACTAATTTTTGATTAAAATGGATTGGATACTTGAAATTTTAGGAGTGCTCATCGGTCGAAGGAAATTTTGAGACCCGCAAGTGTTTTGGAGGAACAACCTTAAGAGAAGAAAGTACCTCAACTTCTTGTTCCGAATGACATTCATTACTCAATGAAGTTTGTAGATGAGAAGAATTGTACCGAGGCGGGTGTTAGGGTGTGTGTTAGGGTGATGCTATATTTTCAACTGTTCTAGGAAAACCGACCTTTGATGTCTATCATTCATCAAAAACAACGGCTTCATGATTTTTACGCAAGTAAAATTTAATTAACGAGCCGCCATTTTAAAATGGCTGTAAATGGATATTTGCGGTTTGGACCAAATGCCCGCATTTTTAACGCTTTTTTTTCAAGACACCCTGTGAAGTTAAGATCAATGATGGTACGGTTAACTCGATCTACCTCGAAGACTTTTACGCAGAATAGAGATAGAAACTGTAGTACCGGTGCAAAACAAAATATATCTCAGTTAAACTTGTGGTCGTGGACAATGCAAACGTTGCAAATTTTTCGTCAAATTACATTTTTTACACAAAAACCCATCAACGTAATTTTTTTTTCTTTTTTAAACAAAATATTATCGTTTCCTAATTTCGTCTGTGGAGAATGTTCTGTATAAAACTTTGGAGCCATAAAATTAGCTCGTTCTCTTTAAAAACTAAAATGGGAATGTAAATTTGGAATCGGGATACGTTTAGATGTTTAGGTATCAATTGTATGATGACATAGTTTTGTCTTATATTAGAATTTTCGCAGTAAACCTCAGGTTAAGCTCAATAATTCCCGGAGACTTAAACGCTGAGTTAAAAAACTAGTAACATTCTTTTTAAAAGTACTGACTTAGCATCCCATTTATCGAAAGATGAGTCTCAAGGTAAGAAACTGAGAAAAGAAAACTTACTGTTCTCATCAAGGTCTCTTGAGGTCCCGAATAACATTCGACAGGCCTCATGCACGATGCAGGTGAATAAACGTGACTTTTGAATTTGATTTTTTTGGCCGAAACCGAAATATTTTACGTCTCCGATGCAGTGGACTCTTTCTCCCCTCTACTGCCTCAATCACGATTTCTTCTTGAATTTGTATTGTTTTTTGCTAAACTCAAGTTTGATCTTAAATAAGTGGCACAAAATTAATGCATTTCATTTTCATTTGTGCCTCTCGTGCTGTCAAGTTCGGATTGATAATGCTTTCTTACCAGGTGAGTGAATATCATACTTTAACGAATGGGGAAATCCTTTGTGTCTATTTTAGAGAAAAGTCTTTTTTGGTTCATAAAATGTTTATACATTTTCGCGATAAAGATTTTTAAAAATTGTAAAGACAGGAAATCAAGAAGCTCAGCTTCTAACAAATATGCCACTTGCGAGGTCTGAACTAGAGATCGCGTGTTCTCTTTATAAAATCTTACGTAGAAAACGATTCAAACAACACATAGCTCTAAAATCAACTCCCGAAGGAGATATTAAAAGGCATTTTAAAACAGATCAAATGGAAGTCAGATTTAACAAAATGACATCATTAGTATTTTGGCTACTTGCCTTATGTTAATCGTGTAAACATTTATATTTTGTTCAGGAGTTCATTTCATGACTTCCATAACTGAATACTTTTTCGGTAAAGGGTATATAGGGCTTTTTAATGTTGCGAAAATTGTGCAGCTTAGCTCTCGATCTAAACTAACTTATCCAAAAGTTCTTTTACAGATTTAGATCTTGGATATATATGCTCTGAATTTTCCTTACATTTGAGGGAACTATGACTATGAATAAATTGCATTTGCTGTATGCAAATTTGATGAAAAACTACATAAACTTATTAGCACTACGCTCCTTATACGCTCTTTTACCAAAGAAATCTTCTATTTCCTCAAATTTTTCTAAGTCGTTTTTTAGTTGATTTGGGGAGCTTTGAGGACAAGGCGCATAAGTGCAGTTTTTGCTATTTCGAGAGGTACGTGTTTGAAATTTCGAGATTACATGGATCTTTATGGCGGAAAGAAAGTTTAAACTGAATTTTTGATGCTTATAAATTGAAATTTGGGAGCGAATTTTTCACAGAATACGCATTAAGGCTAGTCTAACTTGAAAGTGCCTATAAATATCTTAATATCATCAAAAACTGCACTTACGCACCGTGTCCTCCAAGCCCATTATTTGGTCTTTTCCCCGTTATGAAGAATCTCTGAAACATTCCAATGTTTTCAGAGGTATCGTATTTATAAACATGTTTTAAGCATCATTTTGCTATCAGGGAGACTACATGAGAGTGTAAATTCGCAGCGTGGTGTCCTGAGATATAGATTTCTGCGATTGCACCATGCATTTGTCACCCGAGGTTAAATCTCTGCATTACCGAGGATGCAACTCCCTAATCACGAGGGAACGCGGGTCGTTAGCGGAGGGTGACGCGATGCGACGACGCGCTGCATTCGTCTCCGTCCGTTTGTTTGCTGATTGAATGATTTAGCGAAAGATAAAGATGAATGGGAAACTCGGGTGATTAGCACCGTTACATTTATGAGCCGATCTCATTCATTCGCCATTCATTCATAAATTATAATTACGCTGCATCGGTGAGTGTGCACTGCGGAGTTGTGAGAGGCGTTTGTTTGCCAGTGATATGGTGTTGTCATGTTGTGCCAAAGGCAGTCTTCTGATTTTTATTTTTAACGATTGAGTGGTAAATGAAGCATCCAATCAAAAATAAATCTGATACACATGCTTGTGCAGGAAAACAAATTACACTAAAAATTGATGCAATTTTTTTTTCAAAATAAAAAAATATCTAGTTTTAAGGACGATTTTTATGAGGTAAAGAAAATTTCCTCGTATTTAAAGACAATTTCTTGAGAAAGTTTTATTCAAAGAAGTACATACCATTGTCCCAGATGACAAATTCAACTACTCTTGAGTTATTAAAATCAAATTTGAATTAAAATGCATTTCTTTCACGCAAATCGTTTCTTTTATTTAAAATGCAATTTTTTCTACTTAAAATAAATTCTTCCAAAAATCATGAGTAAATCAAAGAAAATTTTGATTAATTTGGAACAAAAAAATTGTTTTCAATTATTTTTCGGTGGTATTATCAGACTTGATGTGCGCATAAAAACTTAGGAATTGGCTGATTTTCCGCCAGCTAATAGCGCTGACAATGAACATTTCACCATTCGTCGGATCTCAAAACAAAAACTATAACTGAAAAGTGTAATAACTGGATACTTTTCATCACTTAATAGTACCTATCTTTGAAAACAATTACAAAAAAAACAGATGATCAAAATTCTGAAACACTGCATGGTGTCTACCTTCATAAGAGTCATGCAAGGCCCCCCCCCCCCTCCCATTTCTTTTTATTTCTTGAAAAAAATATTTTGTTTGTGCACTCCATTACTTATTCTGTTAAATGGAAATGAAATTAATTTTAGAAACACACATTGAGAGTCATGTTACGTATTAAAATGACACTAGACTTACTGAATACATCATGGTAATCCAAGGTTAAATCTGCACATCTCAATGTGTTTCAATGTTAGATTCTAACTAATTCCTGATGTTGATAATAACTAAAGCTGAGTTCCACAAATGCAAAATATCAAATTTTGATAGGTCCCCATTTGATACGTCGCACAACACTGCCGTGCTGAGGAAGAACGCCGTATGAGCCATTAGGCGCTGCCAAATTTCTTTTGGTAAATCACAAATTCTAGAGAAAATGTGTAAATATTTTTCCTCCGATTTTTTCAGTTAATTTTGTTCGCAATTTTACCTAAACTTGCTGAAAATTTTAGGGAAAAATGTACGTACCTTTCCTGAAAAATAAACATTTTATCGACAGAAATTTGGCAACTCTCGAATGTTCATACGGGGTTCTTCCTTAGCACGACAGAACACGACTCAGACTCGCAAATCCGCGCTCCTCAAATTCTTTTCCGATTCTTTTTCCGCTGTTTGCCCGTTGCAGACAGTGATAGATGGGTTCTGTCGGCTTACGACGCTCTCTTGAAGCAGTGTTGTCATTTTTAAAAAAAAGCTCATATTTCATTTTCAGATTAGAGCATTTTTCAGATTCGTTTCAAAGGCATCATATATGGAAATACCTTGTCAACATAATATGAGGAGTCATTAAAAACTAGAGATTAATCAGAAGTGCCAGCGTCGGGTAAACAAGACCTTGGTTTCGGCGAATTAAAGACTAATGTGCGGGTAAAAATTCCTGGAGATTTGTGAATACGAGAGACACCTCGAAATGTCAAATTGAATTAAAGTTACCTTGATTAAGCATGAACAATGGACATGAAGATGGTAAGGTTGGTGCATTCGAGATTTGTAAAAAATGTAAATAGTTTTTTTCGAAGAAAATAAATTTTAAATTTAGTTCAGGACTAGGAATAAAACAATTCATATCATATGAGGAATTATCTTATTTGCTGTGAAGTATGTTTTTAATAGTTTCAATTAAACTTGTATAAGTTCTATAGAGTTTCCATTAGTATCATAAAAGGAATTAAAATTAAGAGTTCCTCAAGAAACCAAATGAATACACATTTTACAAAATGCTTAATTTTTTTTCACCAACAAATGATTATTAACGATGTAGGGAATCCTAATTCAAGTAAGATGATTTTATACAATGATGAGTAAATGACCAGGATAATATTACGATTATGGGAATGGTGATTTTGAAATCATAGTAAATGTTCAACAGGATCCCGCGGGATAGTAAAAAAAACCCAGGGCAGTACACTGAAAAAAGCAGCTTGGATCAAGCATGATAATTCTTGAATTTGCCGCCAAGAATTTTCTTTATCTTTCTTAAGCTGACTTTTTCTTGATTCAAGAAAAATAATGCTTGGGTTAAGCTAAAAAGTAGTTTATATTAACCATCAAAATTCTTGATTTAAGAAGAAATACTTCTTGGCGGCAAATTTAAGATTCTTTTTTTTTTCCAGTGTAAGTTGCCATGAACAGTGACGAAAAATGTTAGTTGCGTTCAGGTTATTCTACTATCATATTACATAAGCCACGGGAATGTTAGACAGTTTTTTCTTTGGCGACCTCAACAAGTCTTTTCTGGTAAAGTTCATTGAAACTTCAGACCTTTCAGGAGAGTTTCCATTAAACGGGCGATAAAAATTTACTGTCTGGGATATAGAATATCGAACGAGACTTTCTCAATCTGAAGATGCAGAGCAAAAATTAGAGTAGGCGTCCACTTTGGATAAATCAGAATTGCTCTTAAAAATGACAACCCTGCATACGAGAGCAGGCGCGGAGGCAGAGAAAAATTGATGGGACCGTTTTTATTTTGACAGAGGCTAACAAATAGTTCAATGGGTCACCGTACCGCAGAGGTACTTGAAGGACTGAAAAATTGACCATCCGTCATTTGCATGAAAAACATTTGCACACCTTGATTTAGTTTTGCACATTCATGGAACTGAGCGTGCCAAGCAGAGCTCAGAACGAACCACTCCACTGACAAAGTGTGGTTATGATCATAATCGTTATTTTTAATGAAACTACAAATCATAAATAGACATGAAATTACGGATAAGGCGGAGGTTTTTGGATGATATGGGCATTTCTAAATGACTGTGGGAGAACCCCAGTAAATTAGGTTACAGATCCAAATGTTGCGGTACTTCCCCAACTTGAGTTGCGGCACTACCACAATTAATTGGAAATGTTCATATCAACCAACATATTGGGGTAGTGCCACAATTTTAAGGGATAACCCTATTCACCACTTTTTCTGATATTACGACGAAAACGGACTTTTTTGACGATGCGATCAAGCCGCAAAGCAAGACTCAAGATTTTTTCATTCATTTTTAATTTTGGTTTTAACGTTTTATTATCCAGCGTTATTTGATTCGCTCAAAGGATCCAAATTAATTTTCGAGAGATACATGTCCTTTCAAAGCGTTAAATAAAAGTTTGAAAAGAAACAAAAACTTGATCACGGTAAACTGGACCAAATATCGATTTCTATAACCGAAACTTTGGTTGACTGAATCAAAAAGCTTCAATGTTGTTTCTTAAGAAGCTCCAAAAATTGACTTAATTGCGTTTACATGGAAGTTTAAGTTCTCCTTGCACCGATACGCTCGCTGAATAAACACATCAAAAGATTACGTAGCATTCCACGCACGGTATGCATTGTGCTTCTATTTACACAAATGCCACATTGTGAGTAAAATTTAAAACATCCAACCTATAAAAAGAAATGCTTAGGAGAGATTTGACTGTATTTTCAACCCCGCTGAGGGCAACCGAACCAAAATTAGACGCGACTTGGCAAAACCCTTAATGAACTTATTGACGAAATGTTGATATGCTTCATCAGAGCTTTTCAAAACCTAGGGAACCCGATTGGCTTAAAGGAGTCCATGCGATCGATGGAGGTTGCCAGTTGGTAGGGAAGTGCGTTTTGGCAGTCTACATAATATAGAACTCAGCGTGGGCTTTAAAGTGACGATGTTTAACTTTTACAACGTAGAGGCTTTTAAGAGGTTTAAATTTGTTTGATAAATTTTGGGTCATATCACAGTCATTCCTTGAACAGCTCCTTTCCTAAAAGGCCCCATTATAGTTTACATTGTGATTAACGGAGGTGTATGGAGATCATCGCCATAACATCATATGTATCCTTGTGAAAGATTGAAATGAATCGCCATTGCAAACAGTACAAAATATGGAGGAAAATATATTTCGAGTTTTGTAAATTTTAAGGCAGGTTCGCACCTATCTTAAAGTTTGTCAAAATCAAATAAACCCTCGTAAGGATCCATTTCTTAAGTTTCAGTTCTGAATTTTGCACGAGATTTGCAAAATTTTCCTTTTTTTATAATTTTACACGGGGAAAAAGTACCAAAATCCCGACTATACTCCTGGCCGATTTTGGCGCCAGATATAAGAATAGTTACACCGATCAGAGGTTAGGTATGGTTGGGTCTGCCGAAAGTTAGTGGTTGGATTAATTACACCGCTTGCAAGTGCGACTACTCTATCTGCGCCAAAATCAGCGAGGAGTACGGTTGGGATTGTGATTTTTTCTCAGTATATATCAACGATCTCCTTAATCACTATGTAAAGCAAATTGGGCCTGCTGAGGAATGGAGAAATTTGAAAGACGACTAAACTGATAAAGCTTCAAGAGCTGGAGAGTCCTGAGAGGCACCTGTCTTTTCACACTTAACACAACTAGAGAATCAACTGAACAAATTAATGAGACCTTTCAAATGGTCATTTGGGGAATCCTGAGGTTAAGAGGCACCTGTTCCCCTTATCCTTTCGTTTCGGTGGTCCGAAAACAGCGAGAAGAGGCGTGGCAATGTTGCTCGAATCATAATCGAATAAATCACCGCGACGCGTATAAATTAAATTACGGACACTCGAATGAACTGGTATTTTGAGGCGACTCCTCTCATTGCATCCTTTCGCGGTCCAACGAACGGACGCGGCGGATCTGAAATCGATCCAGCGCACGCGGTTCATCAGTCAGACGGGTCAGTGCTGACCCTCATTCAATCCCCATTATTTCATCAGTCCAAAAAAAGCTGCTACAGCCACCAGCACCGCCGTGATGAGGAAAAATGCCCTATGAGCTTTCAGGCGTTGCCGAATTTCCTTCAATAAAACACGAATTTCTTTAAGAAATTATGAATATCTTTCTTCACATTTTTCAGATAATTTTGTTCGCAATTTTACGTGAGGTTCCGGAAAATATTGAGGAAAAATACTCATAACTTTCTTTGAAAATAAACATTTCAGCGAAGGAAATTTGGCAACTCTCGAATGTTCATACGGCGTTCTTCCTTAGCACGGCGGAGCAGCCCAATCGAATCAGAGTTAAAAATAGACTTTCCTGTTTGCGTGACTTCGAGTTTGGTCCTTGCAAGCCTCCTCGATTTGGATTAAAACAAAAATGAGTAACACCCCCCCCTCCCGGTCCCCTACTTTGGAAATATGTAGGTTTGACTTGACCTCCCTCCCTCCAATTTTTCGGAGTACGACATAGAAAGCCTGAAAAATTATTTGAGTTGGAAAATGTATTTTGTTTTAATGTGGGATGCTTACACCCCCTTCGTTCGGAAAACCCAATGAGGGAAACTTGAAACTCCTATACCCTCTTACTTTTAAGTAACTTTGATAATACTTGAGCCCCGGCTAAGGGCTTTCCAGCTGTAACAGACTTTGACTAGGAGGTTACTGTATTCAATTGTTTATAGTCTATAACACTACTCCAGAGCCAAAAGGTACCTAGCTCCATTTTAGTTTTTTCGAGATATGACGGGAAAATCGCGCGTCGGCCCCATTGATTCCAATGTATATCGAAATTTTTGAAACTCCGTATATTATAACCGGCGTAGCATGGGGCTACCAGATTTCCCACACACACGGAACCGTCGATGAAGATTTCGAAAACGCCATTAATTCAATTTTTCTAAAGATGTGAGTTAGGCACCTTTTGACTCTGGTGTACTGACATTTTGAAAAGATATGCCTTGGATTGTTGCAGGTCCTCATTGTGGCGATATGCCTCACCGTCTCGGAGGCAAGTAACATAGCTTACTCACATCAAGTACCCGCTCCTCCCGTGGCACCAACAGCATTCTACACCTTTCAGCCATACTCTACTCTAGGTCTGGTGCCAACTACCTACACCTACGCTCAGAAGCTAGCGGCTCCTCTACCCCTGGCGCTCCCTTTCACAAGGGGCGTCTCTTTCTACCCCCAACGTGCGGGGTTTCAGCGTCTGGCTGCCCGACTACCCCAACAACCCCTTTTCGTGGTGCCACTCCAAGGGCAGCCCCGGTCTCCACTACCAGCATCCCCCTTGCTGACACTGGCTCAGAGGCCGATAGTGGTGCCTCAGCTGTACACTGCAGCCAGCATTAGGCAAGGACACACACAACACGGGTAAGGTTATAATTATGTGAGGTTCAAAATTTCCGCGTCTTTGGTTGATAAGATTCAGTTTTCTTTCTAAGAGCAATTATAAAGAATTGGTTGATCAACCAAATGTTCGGTTGAATCAATCGAAACCTTAGGTTATTCCGAGACAGCTTAGGATTAGGTGAGGGTCCCTGCTGATCCGATGTACTCGCGCTTTACAGATATCTATTCATTGGTTGCAACTTGCGCCAGAATTCCTAGCCTGAATTTTGCTTGAAAATCAACTTAAAACTAAAGAATGTTTGTCTCGGCACTTCAAGACATCCCACAATGTTCCTCAAATTCTCTCAATTTTTGAGGTTTAAGGCTCAAACTTGCATCAAAATATCCAGATTTTTTTCTATATGCAGTGGTAAAAATAACTCAATTTTGGATTTTTCGAGAATAAAGACACATTTCACAATTTCTACTACATAAAAAAATATTCATATAAATCATTATAACGTCACCTCCCGGTCAAAGTTTCACAAGCGCCATGTGATGTTCAACAATTTTCACCGCAATTTCATTTTTTTTACAGAAAAATTGTTTAGCGAAGTTGTCCGAAAATTTCACTGAATTTTCTTCGTGCTGCCAATAAAATCCAGTGAAATTTTCAAATAGATCGAACCAACAATTTCTCTGTAAAAAAATAAAATGGCGGCAGAAATTTTGAAACGTCGCGTGGTGCTTGGGACACTTAAGCCAGAGGGTGACGATATCACATTCACAATCATAATCACAACATCAATAAAAACCATTAATTCGATCATTTTATTTCACGCATGGATCAGGGTCCAAGTTCAAAAACCGCTTCAGGAGGCCTACTCAGCGATCCCACTGACACCCCTACCGATTGAGTCACCGACAGATACCGTGGAGGTGGGCGCAGACGCAGGGTCCGGACAGGGCCATTGTCAGAACGACCATGGACACGATAAAGGCCACGGATACGATAAAAGCCATGGATATAGTAAAGGCGACGGATACGATAAAGGCCATGGACACGACAAAGATCACAGCTCCACGAAGGAGGCCTACGAATTCGGCTACGAGGTGAACGACGCCTCAACGGGGGATTCGAAGCGCCACGTGGAGAAGCTGGAGAACGGGGTCGTCGAGGGGAGCTACAGCCTGGTGGACCCGGACGGGACGGTGCGGACCGTGGACTACAGGGCCGACGACGTCCACGGTTTCAACGCGGTAGTCCGGAAGGAGCCCCTGGTCCCGCCGATCGCCGCCCAGCCCGTCCCGGTCGGCCCGAGCCCCAACCCGGATCTCGACGTCCCTGCCAACGACTACGAAGAGCTCGCATTCGGGGATGAAGATGTCGTTATTGAAGCCAACTGACAGCCGACAAAAAGTGTTTGACAAGAAGTTCCCGAGGACTTCATCGCTGCTCTGTCGTAAGGGCGTATTGCGATTCCTGCAAGGGCTCTAGTATGCATAGAGTTGAATGTGTTACTGCAGACCGATTTTTGAAATTGATAGACAAAGCTATAGACATGCAAAGAAGACAAAAGAGACACGAGGGGATCCGATTGGTGGAAGCGAGGTTAGTGCGAGGTCTCTAGTCTCTAGAATATATTGTTGAATATATTGTAAGACGTATGATCACATGAGTTCGTCAACAGGTTGATTTTTTCAATTGATAGGAAAAACGATATACAAAAAAGACGAAAAGAAAATGAAGGGATCCTATTGATGGAAGCCAACGGTTGCAATGGACAATGGAGGTAAGCAATAGACTAACTAATGATAATCCACCAGTGGCCCTATAGTTAGTCCATCATTTTCTTCCTTAGTCTATTGGAACCACCCATTTCAACCAATAGGATCGCTCCATACTCCTTATGTCTTCTTTGCTTCTAGCTTTGTGGATCGATTTCAATAATCAGCCCGCAGGGCTTACGTAGAAATTGAGATATGCTCATACATCAGAGGGGCGACGAAATAAACGGCGAACTTTCGTGGTCGATATGATGGACAAGAAGGCTCCCACTTACTTGAGGTACTTGCGATATAAGCGTTCTACTTATTTAAAGGAACAATTTCGCAAAAAAACAAGAAAGAGCCACTGGTTTTTCCTTAAATAAACTTCCAAGCTTCAAAAAGAGTTCTTGAAGTTGAGGCCGTAACGACGGGGATCGCTTACGTTATGGTGAGAGTCCACACCTATATCCAATCAAACTCTCCTTGCACAGATGGACTAGAAGAGTTGTCGTAAAAAATTGAGGATTTCTCATCTAGTATAAAAAATATATTTATGTCTCTTCTTTTTATTAACATAATTTTTCACTAAATTATAATGCTCTGGTTCTAGTTGGTTCTGGTTCGAGCCTAGAGTCCTCACAGAGAGTGGCACTGTAATGTCTTAACTTTCTATCCGTGCGTGGAGAGACGGACTAGAATCATGCCATAACGTGGGAGATTAACATCTGTGACGGCCTCAACTTTGAAAATAAGATGAGTGTTGCTACGAATTAAAAATCATTGAGCCCTCGAGAGCGTAAGTTTCCAGTATTGCCGGTGAATCCAGACTGGCTCTACTGCACGTCTTGTAAATACTACATATATTCCTATACTTTTTGTCTCTGGCGTGAACTTGCTCGTTAATTCACTTAACATCATGCGATGAGTGAGCCAAATTTCTTAAAAGCCCGGCACAAAACCGAAAAGACGGAGGATGTTGAAGGGCTAAAATGTCCATAATTTGCATGATTAGACTTTCGTCATTAATTCTTAATAACTCTATGTACTTCATGGTCTCTAACGAACAAACGATAGCCGAAAATTGTGGCACAAATTTTTTCCACATGAAATATGTATAATAATTGTAAATAGGAGCATGGCCTTACATGGTCAACTTTAAGACTTACTTTTGTAATGTTAACACAACATTATTCGAAATTGTAATAAGATTACATAAAATAAAAATGAATGTTAAATTTAAACTTTGTGTGAATATTTCTGGCCCCAAATCATCCGATGAGGAAAATTTTTTACAGATTTAAAGCGGAATTAAACTAAAGGAACTAATGTTACTGGCTCATTTTTTAAAAAAAAAAAATGTGCATGTCACTAGCTTTCCTATGCAGATTGCAACTTCTACGGATGACCCAGTAACAGCAGTTCCCAAGTGAACAATGTAGTCCGATTAGCCTATCAGCATTTCACGTTGCCTGATTTCACATCAAGTTTTACTTCTATGGACAAAACTAAACGATATAACACCTTAAAATTTTCTATAAAAATCCCTTAAATTAAAAAAAAATATGCTGACGACATATCAAATCGATGTGTTGATCACTTTTCTATTCAATAGATACAACACAAACAGGACATGCAATTGGGAAAAGTCTGATGTAGTTGGCTAGATTTCAATCGCAAGCTTCAAAATTTGTTGACAGAGTGGTTTGTGTTAAACATATGCTCGGGAAAGCTCGTGAACAGAGCTGGGACAAAAAACGCCTTCAAACAAGGCATACAGCACACACCGTGACACAACAATATTTTGGATTATCTAACTAGCAAGGCGATCTGAAGTCCCAACAACTTGTTTTGCGGCATCGCAGCAGCTCGGTGCTGGAATAGACTGATTACTTTTGTGACTTTCAATGGTTTCACCCGGGGAGACGCCACTATATACTTTGCCGCAATATCAAGAATGACACAAGTTCATAACCATTTATCGAATGGCGTAGTCATTGAATCAGTCAAATATATTTGCATAGCGGTCGATAAGGATCGATTGCATTCCAAACTATTTGTAAGTTTGGTGCCACTGACTTATTACTAAAAAGTGATCAGTGCAGTGCAGAGTAGTGCTTTCGCACTACTCTTACGAATAAACTCATCTCGTGAGGACACGTAGAGAAGGGGATTAACAGTAAAAGCTACATAAAGCAGAGGGTGATATCCTTCTGATATGAAACAAAGTACTTCTGCAACAATTTTTAGATAAAATTATACTTTAATATTCGATTCCTATTTCCAAAAAAGCTGAAAAAGAAAAAATGCGTAAAATGTTAAAGTTTTGAAAAGATCGAATTTGGAGTTGACATTGCGCTTGAAGAAAGAACGCCGGATAAAAGACACATAATGAAGCTGAGCTGTAGATATTTGCGTTCAACTTTTTTGCATAATATGGATTGAATCTATTTCTGTGACCCAAGCATTTGCCTATACAGCGTATAAAAACAGCAAAACAATAGACATTTGTGACGGTGAGGTTACAATAATTTTCTTTCGGGCGAAAATCAGCACACACTTTAAGCGGTGAGATGTCACGTATTTCCTATGCCACACAGTGGAACGAGAAAATAGAAGAGGTCGGACAAGAAATTTTGGGCTAAAATTTCAAATTTTTATGTTTATTTCGTCAGAAATTCGATTTCAAAGGGTGTTTCTGCAAGGAAATTTCTCGAAAAAGCCAATGGAACCAATGGAATAAACTTTTTCATTTATATTTTTGAAAATAGCTTTCAAAGTTTCCAAATTTTGCCTGACTCCTCCTATTGACCCGGTCCGGGTTAAGTGTGCTCCGAACAGAAACGGCTTAACCATCTTCGAAAAATCTATGACATGACATTTACACTCGCGGTACTTTAACAGATGATGAAGAAAATGCAAAGAATGGATTATGGGTATGGCTTCATTTTTTCTGCGCGGAAGCGAGAGACTGATTTCCACGCGTAGGTCGTTGCCTCGTTGAGCGGCAGTTTCCGGAGGTTTATGGCCGGTTAATCGTCTCGAAACCGGTTTAATAGGCAAAAACGACGAGTGTAAAAAACTCGACAACGAGCGAACAATCGGTCGCTTATCATGCTGGCTACTGTCCATTGTTCATGTATCTATCCTAAAAAATGTCATGAAAAAGGGTATAATAAAAAAACAAAGACTGCTAAAAATAACCATACAGCTTCCTCTTCAGTTCGTGAGCCCACTGTCATTGCGAAAAGGGAATCATAGGCGTTATTATCATCATCATCAAAATATTTATGACGCTAAATGAAATCCGAAAAATGGTTTACCTAGGAAGATAATTTTGATACTTCCTACTTCCGACAGAAAAAAAAAAGAAATAAATTGATCACGGCCGAAACTACGTGCCTCCATTTGCAACCTTGCAGATTTCCTATCATACTTTATTTTTGTCTTTGGAAAGCTAATCAGCGTAATTTCTTGAAAACAACCTTACTTTTTTTTCTCCCCTGATAGCGGAATATTTTGGATGAATTGCAAGCTCAAAAGTTGGCTCGTTTTTCTTAGAAAAAGTAAAATAGCGGAAGTTTTGAAACATCCCAATCGAGATACGTAATTTCACACTTTGACCATCAAAATCAGCATTTTGCAGACATTTGCTAATGCAAAAAAAGACTTGTTTTTTTATGGAAAATGGCTCAAAAATCACAAAAAAATATGATGACTGAACAAAATTACTTTGAAGCAGTATTCAAGCCTCTTTTGATTCATTTAAATGAGAGAAGGACAACTGAAGAGGGTTTAAGTTTAAAGCTTCCTGTGGATCCGTACCTAGTACTTGGCTACTGGACAATTGAACCGCGTTAAAAGGGAAGAAACCAAACCACATCAACTATTGCCAAATTAATTGGGCAATTTTAGTTTTTCCATGAAAACGGTTGTGCGGATTTTTGTGCAAATTTCAGTGAATTTTCTGCATGTTACAAAGCAAATTCCTTAAAATTTTCAAAGGAATCCGCATAAATGCTCTCTTGTAGAGAGGTAACTGCCCAGTTAAAGTTGGAGATAGCTGATTAGGCTTAGTTCCTTTCTGCTAAACGCGGTCCTTTATCAATGGTTTCAATAGTATCCGTCAAGCGATTTTAGCTTCCACTCCTCTCAGCCGAACAGATTCAGTCATGCTGACGCAAAAGAAGGAGGGTAAGGTTGACAACCTATTTGCGCTACTTCTCACGCTAACATTTCAATCTCATGTCATTTTCAGAACCAATTTCTTATTCGGTGGGTTAGAGTTGCTCCAGCACGGTTATAATGTCCACCTGATCGGTTACAGTCAGAACGTCAAACCAGTGCAATTTCACTCAGCTCTGCTACTTTGTCTAGCTTTTCTGCCGTGCTAAGGAAGAACGCCGTATAAAAATTCGACAGTTGCCGAATTTCCCTTGATAAAACATGTATTATTGACAACATTCATGCATATTTTTCCTGGAAATTTTCAGATATTTTAGATTAAATTGCGTGAAAAATTGTCTGGAAATTTTGAAAAATAATATTCACAGTTTTCCCAGTAATTTAGGTTTTAATCGGAGGAAACTTGGCAACGCCTGAAGGCTCATACGGCGTTCTTCCTCTCGCACCCCGCCTGCCTATCCCTTCGGAGGCAGGCGTCAGTTACACCTGGAGAAATAATTGCTCCATTCCCATTTTAGGTGGAACATAAATGGATAATCATAGATACTGGAGGTTGGAATGTAAAAAATCACCTGCATCATCTAACGATGCGTCAAAGCGGCGAGCAGCGATTAATGTCACTTGGCATGCAGTCGTCCGGTCCGGTGCAGACGGACACACGGACACCGGACAGTGACAAGAGGTTGATCTTAGAGTTGACAGCTCGTCGGGCGTTTCGCAGAAAAGCGCTCCAGTTTACGGCGAACTGGTCGCGAAACCGCGCGACCAGAAAATTCAATGTTAGTCCA